AGGGGCCCGTCCGGGCCGCAGGCCTGCGGGCCGCGCAGTCCCTCCCACCCCCCACTCCCGCGGGCAGACACAGGAAAGGACGCGCGCGGCACGGAGCGGCGGGTCTTTCCCCGGACCCAGACTCTCAACGCGGAAGGGCCCGGCTATCTGTCACCAGCCTGTTTCCCCCGCTCCGGTCGCCCACATGGTTCGGTCCACAACTGGGTCCTTCCATTGGCTCCGCGGTCCGGGGGTGGCGGCAGGGCCCTGGACCGAACCATTCCGGCCGTCGACCCGGCAGCCTTTTTGGAGCAGGGCGGATCCTGCTGCGATTGGTCGGAGGCCATTTTGGAAGCGGGCAACTCCAATTTTAATCGAGTAACGCCGAACCTGGAGAAGGGACTTCCAATACGACTTTTGCATAACAGGGGATATCACTAGCTCAGGGTTTCTCAGTCTCAGCAACGTTTTGAACTGGTCATTCTTTGCGTGGGGGTCGCCCCGTGTGTTGTAGGATGTTGAGCCGTTGAGCAGTTTCCCTGGCCGCTTTACCTGTTCAGCACCACTAGCACTCCCCCAAACGTCTGCAGACATGGCTGAGTCTCCTGGGGAAGCAAAACCGCCCCCAGCTGAGAAACCCTGTTCTAGGTAAACTCAAAACTGGGTTGCGATTCAAATCTACCTATGGTGGTGACTTAGTCGACGTGTGCGTGTCATTTTTACACTAAACATTTGCATTAGGGGTTATGGCTGAAAGGATTAATATGTGATACCCAGATTTGACCAGAGTATGCAACTATGAAGTTCATCTTTTGGGTTTCAACCTCAGGCACTTTGTCTCCTTGACTCAATGAAGAACCAAGTCAACTTACAGCTACTTCACCAGCTTAAGGTGCCTGCTGCTGCTTCAGCTGTGCTCAGCTGTCTGGGTGAAGTTATTCAATGCATCCTGAAAACATTCCCTCGCCTTCCCGGCTTATGTACACCCAGCGTTTCAGATGCCTGCAACAACAACTGTTTAAGAATCCTGACCTAATTCATTCTCCACATGTGTGGGGCCCAGAAGATCTGTGAGTTGTCAAACTAAAACAGGATGCAGGCACATCAGGCTGGCACTCAGAAGCTCTAACTGGAATGTGTGGGAATTAAGCAGTTATACCCACATCACACATTTATCGCACTGGAGAGATGACCCAAGACCAGTGCTTCTGAGGCCTCTTGCAGCACTTCACATTCTTTCAGAGGACTTGAGCAACGTAATTTTCTTCTTTGTCATCATTCCATGTTTACTGAACATCTCTATCTCAGTCTGAAAATTTCACAATGGCAAGGATCCTTACCGAGTACCTAAAACAAAATAGTGTCTAGTCCACAGTAGGCATTTAATATTTGCTGAACGGTGAGCATAGCTGTGTTTACATGTAACACATACAATAAGTATTCATTAGTATTAGGGTCACATCTCTTTTCTTCTTCACACTGATAAACCTCTTTTTTTTTTTTTTTTTTTTTGAGTCGGTGTCTCACTCTGTCACCCAAGCTGGGGTACAGTGGCACACTCACAGCTACTGCAGCCTCGACCTGCTGGGTTCAGGTGATCCTTCCACCCCCGTGTTCCATTTGTTGTACAGACGAAGCCCACCAAGTTGCCCAAACTGATCTCGAACCCCTGGCCTCTGGCAATCCTCTCACCTCTATCTCCCAAAGTGCTAGGATTACAGGCGTGAGCCACCATGCCTGGCCTAGCTATTCTTATCTCAAATTCCAAGTATATGAAGAAAAGCAACAATTAGAAAATAATAGTAATATCAATAATTACAGCAACTACTATTTACTGAGGGCTTACTATAGAGCTGGCATACCATATTTCCCCATAAAATATTCCATCTGCCCTTAGCCAGATAGTAAATATTTAGCTTTGCTGGTTACAAGCAAGTTTTGTCCCATATTCTTCTTCCTCTTTTTCTTTCTTTCTCCCTCCCTCTCCCACTTCTTTTGCTTCTTATAATCCTCTAAACATGTAAAAAATATTTAGGTAGCAGACCATACAAAGACAAATTGTGGACTAGAGGCAGACAACACATTAACTCCATTTTGAAGATGAGATTAAAACTGAAGCCTAAAGAAAGAATTGTCTAATATATTCTTACTTTACTTATTTTATTGTCGCTCTACTCCAGTAGAATGCAAACTCCATAAGGACGGGAAATTTTGTCATTGCTTACTGCTGTTTCTCCAGTGGCTGGAACTGTGTTGAACGGGGTAGATGTTCGATAAATATTTGTTGAATAAGGGAAGGAACGCTTGAACTTGACTTAACCATCGATTGCCTCGAGGGGGTTGCAGCTGCACAGTTCTGCTCCCAAGAGTTGTGGCTTCCCCTGGTGTTATTCAACGGGGATCGGCGGGGGCGAATCGCTGAGACAGAGAGACCCAGATTCAAGATCTAGAGGTGGAACAGAGGATGCCGGGGGCCGTTTTTTGCCCTCACTCAAGATGGCGACAGAGCGGCCTGCCCTTTCCGGCCACATGACCTGGCGGGCGCAAAAGTGCGCCTCTCCGCGCGTGCGTGCTGCGCCCGCGCTGAGCGGCGCTGAGGGGGGAGGTGCTGCCGTCAGCGCAGCCGCCGGGACTCGTTAGAGCGGAAGCGTCGCTGCCGCCGTCTTCGCTGTCTCTCAGCCTCTGGTTCCCGGCAGGTGGGAGGCAGGAGCCATGTCGAAACGACTCCGGAGCAGCGAGGTGTGCGCTGACTGCAGCGGGCCGGGTGAGTCGCATCGGCCGGGCCCTCTCCTTTCTGCTCTCCTGGCCCGGACCCCTGCCCAGGGACCGCCCCCTCGGGACGGGCGGGTTCCCGCGGCCGAGCCCAGCACCTCGCGGCCGGGAGCGCAGCGAAGGGGTCCCGGGCGGCCTTGGGGCGGGAGCTGTCCAGAGCCTGTGAGCGACGGGCGGGCGGGGACCGACGCCCGTCCCTCGACCCCCAGTCCGTCGTCTCTCTTCTCTCCGGTCCCGCCAGTCCCAGGCTGGCTGGGACCGCTCTCCCAGCAGGAATGGGCTTGGGCAGTGCACGGGAAGGCCAGTTGTAGAAGCAAAATACTAGCGTCTTCTCGTTGCAGCCCCAGAGGCTGCAGGTGTCACCTCCCACCAGATCCCCGCCTCGCCTGGGGGCCCTGCCCGGGATGGGCGACACTCCCTGGCTCTCGCCAGGGGCCACCTCTGTTGACTGCCCTGCTCCAGACATCCCGGTCGACACTCCACCACTCCACTAGGGAGAATCTCCAGGAGCTCCAGGGTCTTACAGACACAGCCAGCACTTTAGAGGCAGTGCGTGTCTCAAGTTTGGGGACCTGGATGGCCTGGGCTCAGATTAGATTTTGCCTCTGGGTGACCTTGGGCTGGTGACTTCACCTGATCACTTGGTCTTGACTTCCTCATTTTTTGGTAGGGATAATCGGGAGTGCCACGCTCAGTGGTTAAAAAGATTCAGTGAATATTCTTAGGATCTTCTCATCTGTATAGGTTGTTGTGTGTGTGTGTTAGGCTATTTAGTATAGAATACCCTTCCAGTATCTTAACGCTATGTGTGTGTGTGTGTGTGTGGCTATTTAGTATAGAGACCCTTGCAGTGCCTTAAAGCTAGCGTTGACTAAACTGTACGTTAACTACAATTTAAACAAACAAAATCGCTAGCAGTATAAGGTTTTAGGAACAGACATTGAAAAGCTAAAACCATTCCTTCATAATAATGCATGACCATTCATACATAATATTCACATTTAGAGATGGAGTTTGTCTTAGCAATTGGAACTGAATTAACAGGTTTCTGTATGGACTTTCGTTTGTTTGTTTGTTTGTTTGTTTGTTTTGGAGTTGAAGTCTCACTCTGTCACCCAGACTGGAGTGCAGTGGCCGCTCCCGGTCACCGCA